TGATTTTAAATTATCGAACTAAAGATAATATTTTGGAGCTCACTCGAAAGATTCTCAATTGATGAATTTACATAAAATGATCAATGTGGCCTGTAATCCCTTCAGATGTGTAAAGCACGGCGATGGGGGCAGTGATCTACATGTAGAGAATATATATTTCCAGATCGATGGCGCTCATTGTTACAGTGTAACATCCACCCAAAAGCGTGACAGAAATAAATGACCAAAATTACATCGGATGACCAATCAGGTTTATCTACGATTTATGCATGTTTTTGGGTATTTTGGGCAACCCGCGGGTGCCCGCCAAGAACCCATGGGCGGGTTCATCAAGGCCAAAACCCGCGGTGGGTTGCCCATGGGCGGGTAAGGAAATTGAAAACCCAACCCAAACCCGCGTTTGGCGAGGTCTACTCCCAGTACTTAGTCTAGCTAACCTGTAGATAGCTTCTCTCTCTTACAACGCATCCAGAGATCTCCAGTTTCATCTACAGCTTCATTTGTAGACTGAATACTATCTCTCTCACTATCATAGCAGGATATCCTATTGGTGATTTAGATATTGGGTGTATATAACATAGTTGAGTGTGGTGGGTTGATAACTGAAAACTTGTTGGATGCCTCAGGCATCACATGTAGGATAGACCAACTAGATAGTCTTCCTTCCACTCTCACCTTCTCTCTCTCCCCGTCCATCCAATTGAATACTGTTTTACCTGCATACATACTATCATTGTATTTGCATCAAAACTGGAATGCCCTGATGGCGAAAAGGAGTCGATTATGTAATAGAATGATATCATCCAAGTGGCTACGGTGCCGATCCCCACCCGCAGCACCTGGCAATGGCCACCGTGGCCACTTGGATGGGTACCCATTCTTGGCAAAACAGTCCCCATCCCCAACGGGAGCCCGAGGAAGAGCTTGAAGGCTATGAAAAGACCAATGAAATCTACTTCTTGTAACGGAGTACTCCGTACTTGATTGTACAAAGCCATCATCATGCACCGGATTCTCCCAACTTCCTAGGCCTCTCACCCTAGAATACGTCTTCATCAGACAGGATTGCTGAAGCTTCTGTATAATTTTGGGTGGGTCATGTTTTCTAATTCAAAGAGGCCCGAGTTGAATAGGCAGACAGCTGAAGCCTGTGACATCTCGGGTTCTAGATACAATGGATGGTGCGAATTTATCATGTGATGTTCTCGTCTTGGCTCATTAGATAGAATCCCCAGGCCAACACTGCCATCGGATAAACAATTGGATAGTGGGAAACTATCCCCCTTCCGCCGCATGAAGGTCCTCCTCCCTGACACGTCCAATTACCTCCTCATTGAAGTCTTTGTTCTGAGGCAACTCCACCGTGTACTCACGAATAATGGCCGCTTGGAGTCTGACGTCTCTTGAATCAAACTCCAATACGTGGCCGGCTCGAGTTTTGCATCGAGACAAAAAATGTAAATGGAAGCCCTTGACGCTGAATCCCCCACTGAAAGCCGGGGACCAAAATCCAAAGAGAGTACCCTCGATATCTCTATGAGCCAGGACTTGCTGTCGCTTGGCCAACTCTGCGAGAGACTCCCGGGGCTTGGACTGTGCCGCTATCACACGAAACTTCAGATTGTCGAACAACGCGTCCACACGAATTGACAAAAAACAGTTTTGTCGGGAAGGAAGCAGAGGCTCCAGTGCCTCTGAAAGCGTGTCCAAAGTAAGAAAACGCAAAGACTTCTCCATGGTAGGTCTGAATCGAGTGATCATGGCGAAGGGTAGAACATCAGAAAAGTCAACTTTTCGGAGCTCCTCGCCTGGAGGAATCTGGTAGGCGTCGCCATCGACAATTACTATCTCCCCGTTCAGATTGGAAACGGTGCCGAGGCCATGATCGCCATTGGTGAGGATTTCTCCAACGGTGATTCCAGTTTGGCAGATGCCAGCCATGAGAGCGCTAAGAACCGAATACTGGTAGAGGTTGTTTGCCGCCATTGTCGCTTTTGGCACTATCGAAGAAGTCAAAAATGATTCCTATGACAGCACCGCTAGGGATTCAATAAATAATTATGACTATTACCGGTGAAAAAGCACCGTGTCTGGGGTTAATAATGTACCCTCCGGTGTTGCTGATCAGTTCCTTTTGCTGATCTTTCGCAACTGTGCCACCTAGGTCATTATCTTCTCTTCTCATAACCTCAACAGGAGTGATATTGTGAAATGCGCGAAAGCAAGAAACCGACCGCAGTTCTTTGCAGGGACCGTAGTGCTCAGGGGGTTACACAGCATACCATCGCCTTGGTATGGTGCCCAATCATCGCCACTCCCAGTGCTCCCATTTCCTGGGTTATCTACATGGCGGATCGTTACACATTATCATATCGACATAATCTGAACTCTGTAGATTGGCTCCTCTGACCAGATCCCCTGAACTGAACTCAATCACCTCAGAGCACTACGATTCTAGGCTTCCTACCTAAGCGAATGTTACGCAGCATGGGTGTCGCCTATGTAGAAGCTCGAAGGACTTGAAGTCAGCGATTGTGCTTTGAACTGTTTGACTGAGCAGAAAGAAAATCCGAAACCTTGCGCGTGACACCATCAGGGCTCCTGGGATACGAGCGAACTGTGGACATGTTCCTGGTTATCGAATTTAGTTTCGCTGATCTAAAGCTTCACTTCTCTTTTGCCGGGGCCCTGGCGCCCCCAGTGCACGAGTCGCTATACGTAGTTAACCTTATACCAGTAGTAATATGCAATAGGACCAAATTGGCTGATTGCACACTTCATCGCCCGTGCCTGTGGTTCATAGAACGGTTGCACAATGATGCATTATACTTTGTACAAGTGAGTACTTGTTTTTCCGTACCAAGTCCAAGATTTATTTCCTAAATTCCACAGCCTCGGTCTTAATTTAATCTACATTATAAGAAAAGACTTATAAGAATGTCCTTTTGTTGATATTTAGGTGCTGTTCAAATATTCAGATTGGTCTTAACAATGACAAACCACCACTCCGATGGTCTAACAGGGGGAGAGATTCTCTGTGAACTGCTTGCCAGTCATAACGTTGACTATGTTTGTACGTGAAACCTTCCTGGACATACCACCGAAATTGTCTGATGGATTAAAGTCGGCTATCCCGGCGGTGCAGCCCTTCCCCTCTTTGATGGGATTTAGAAGACTAAATTTTTTCGTTTCATTCTCTCCCATCATGATCAAGGTGCTGGTCATATGGCCGAGGGCTACGCCTGCGCCAGCATGAAGCCGGGTGTTGTTTTAGTAACCTCGGGGCCAGGGAGTTCCAACCTCGTAACCCCTATGCTTAATGCTCTTCTAGACGGCACGCCAATGATTGTGATTTGTGGCCAGGTGGCAACTACGGTTCAGGGGACTGGTGCTTTCCAGGAGATTGACATTATGGCAATTGCCAAGATTTGCACAAAGTGGTGTGCTGCTGTGGAGAGAATTGGCGACCTGCCGAAGATCGTTGACGAAGCATTTTACCACGCATCCTCGATACGTCCAGGGCCAGTCCTCATATCTATTCCGAAAGATATCGGGAAAGCGATTTTTGAGCCGACACATACCACAAATCCTCTAATCAGAGCGCCGAGGTTGTTGAAGCAGGGGATACTCAGACAAAATCGAATAGTCTTGAAAAATAGCCTTAGCACCCCAAGTATCCAAGAGGACATCGATCACATCGCGAAACTTGTCAATGATTGTCAGCGTCCGATCATATGTGCTGGCCATGGAGTCCTCACAAATGCATCTGGCCCGACCATGCTATCCCAGATTGCAGAAAAGGGTAGAATCCCGGTCACGACCACACTCCTCGGACTTGGATGTTTTGATGAAGCTCATGAGCTGGCGTTGCATATGGTCAGTACCTACGGAGCACCATATGCAAATTACGCCATCCAAAGTGCCGATGTGGTTCTTGTATTTGGGGCCCGTTTGGATGAAAGAGCCGTAGGTAATCCACTCCATTATGCCCCCAACGCCAGGGAGGCAGCTCAAGCCAGACGAGGGGGAATTTTTCAGTTTGATTTCACCCATAGCAATGTGGGGAAAATTATCAAGCCGACTCAAGTCGTCATTGGAGATTTGTCTGAGGTTTTGCCAATGTTACTTCAGCGCTTGAAAAGTGGCCGGAATCGAGAAGAATGGCTAGATCAGATTGAACGGTGGAAAAAGAAACATGCTTTTCGAGTTCCCCCAGAAGGCATGCATGGCCACGCCTCGCCTCAACAGACTATTGCGGAGTTAGATCGTCAAACTTCATCATTAAAGCACCGCGTTACTATTACAACAGGCGTCGGGCAGCACCAAATGTGGGCTGCACAGCGCTATCGCTTCAAATATCCTCGCTCATTCGTCACATCTGGCACTCTGGGTACCATGGGCTTCGGTCTCCCCGCTGCGATTGGAGCCCAAATGGCTCGACCCGACCACATAGTGATTGATATAGATGGAGATGCCTCATTCTGTATGACCATGGAAGAGCTTCTCACTGCATCACAATATGATCTCCCAATAAAAGTCATCGTGTTTAACAACAACGCGCAAGGAATGATCGCACAGCTGCAGCAAGCCGACTACGGAGGTCGGGTTTGCTACAACCGTCAGGCCAACCCAAATTTTGTTCAGTTAGCTCGGAGCATGGGATGTGAGAGCCAGCGATGCGAATATGCCGGTGAATTGTCGAGATGTATCCAGTGGCTTCTGGAGTGCCCGAGACCTGCATTACTTGATGTTGTCATGGACGAAATGAAAATGCTTCCTATTGTGCCGAATGGGAAAGCTTTGGACCTGATCACATTAGAGTAGGGCAATTTAGGGCTTTCATGTGATACTGAGAGATGGGATAATTTGACTATAGAGTAGGAGCTCTACAATTAATAATCCGGCCCTTGTAGAACCAACGAGGGCCTTGAAACGGCGCCTATGCCCTCGAAAGAACTTGAATGTATCGGTAATAGTACCTTGGGAGTTCTAAAGTAGATTCTTAGCTTATCCCTTTTGCATTCTAGTTATTAGAATCTTTAGGGTATTTTCTATGACAAAAAACCAAGCTTCGCTATATAGATATTTATAAACCACTAGCTATCCTAGGAAGTAGATACCAGCTAATTCTTAATCTAGTAGGTTACTACTTATAGGTAGATATGCTTACTAAGATATTTGCTTCATAGGCTTATAAGGCTTTAGTTAAGGCACTTAAGCTACTAGATGTCTATCATTTAGTGAACAAATAGATTCCATAAGGAACTAGAGCTTGATGACTTCTCGGAAAACCAACTCGGTGGCTCCTAGGTGGTACGGACCTACCCGTCACCAATCAGTGGTGCCCCACCGGGTACACAGATGGGCCACCAAGA